ATAGCTAAATAAATATTATAATGAGAACAGATATCAAATACAAAATTTTCAATGTGATAGCTAAATAAATAGCCAAAAAATCAACACTATTTATTCTATTCAGGGCAGTATTTTCTACAGCTGGATAGCCTGTTTAACCAACAAATCTTTGCTTTAAATTTTAGATTAAGCATGTTTTGATATTAATTTTTGTGTCTTGACCTTGTTTTAATACAAAGTTAATCAATAATTAAGCATTGAACATTTTTATATTAATTGTCTTACATCTCCGAGTAATGCAAATGTATAGATTCTACAATTACTTTAGCTTACAAGAGAAGGTCTTTCAGTAATAATTGTTCTTAATATTGTTAATATATTTAACTTTAATGAAAATGTTATTGACCATGTAACATGGACATGAATATATTTGCCTGTAGCTAAAAATAGAGATGGAATCTTAAATATATTAGAAGTGACTATAAATTTACCCAGAAAGAAGGGTAATGATAAAATGAACACACACACACACACACATATATATATATATATATATATATATATATATATATATATATATATATATATATATATAAAAAAAAAAAAATAATTGCTTGAGGATGAAATGGAACTAATGTCTTTAATTTAATTACAAAATTAAATTCGGGGCTTTTAGTTTCCATTTTTGAAACATGGTTAGAACTGTGTAGCGAAAAAAAAACATATTTTAAATCAATTAATTTATAATATAATAATCTGGCATACACATGACTGACCATGATTAACCCTTACTTTCACAGGCTTCAGGCCAATAGTTAATCACTTACTCTCAACCACTCTATAGTATACAAGTCTTGTTTTCAGCCCACACCCAAAGTCTGGCATCCAGATAAGATTTTCTCTTTCTGCTGTATATAAGAGATTCTCCACTGAACAATGGCCATGAATAACTATAATCAACTCCAGCATCTGCATTCATTTGATGGTCAGGTGTAAAATTCGAGTGTACCATGTATCTGGCATACATGCTTTTGAATTCAAAGTTTTCCTTTTCCTAGTCTAGAACTCAGCTTGCTAATTTTGTTTTTCTGTTCCATTGCCCATTCCAGCACCCACAGAGCCATGCCCACTGATGCAAAATAAACTGTATGTCAGATTTAAACTCTAATTGGTCAGACATATTTCCTTTTCTTCAACAGGTATTATAATGGTGCATTTTTATGATTTTGTGAGTAGCTTTAAGAATATACCTGTAAATGAATTTTTATAAACTTATTTCATAACTCTGTATAATGTATTTTTTTTTTTTTTTTACTACAGTGCACATTATATTTTTTATTTGCAGGTTCCATCTTTGAGAGTTTCCTAAACCATGATGAACATTCAAGAAAAAGAAGGCATACTCACACAGTGAAATTTGTCGATTAGTAGTTAAGTCCACACAGAAGAAACACAATTGAACACAAATATGGTATAAACTTTTTTATATGAAATCTGCGGTGTTAGATTTTTAATGAATTTAAATATCAAAATGAACATGAAAATTCACACGGGTGAGAAACTTTTCCACTGTGACATGCGTGGAGTAAAATTTTCCATTAAATCATCTCTCACAAACCACATGATAGCACACATTGGAAAGAAACCATCCCACTGTGAAATCTGCAGATAGAAATTTTCTCAGTATGGAAATCTTAAAAAACACGTTAACACACACTGGAGAGAAACTATTTCACTGTAAAATCTGTGGATATAAATGTTCACAAAATTCTGCTCTGAAATCACATATGATGGCACATACTAGAGAGAAAACATTCAACTGTGAAATCTGTGGACATAAGTTTTCCCAAACTTCACATCTTAAAACACATATTATGACACACACTGGAGAGAAACCATTCCACTGTGAAATCTGTGGATATAAGAGTTCCCAAAAGTCTACTCTCAGAACACATATGTTAACACATACTGGTGAGAAACCATTCCACTGTGAAATCTGTAGATATAAGTGTTCCCAAAAATCTGCTCTCAGAACACATATGTTAACGCATACTGGTGAGAAACCATTCCACTGTGAAATCTGTAACTATAAGTGTTCCCAAAAGTCTTCTCTCAAAGCACATATATTAACACACACTGGTGAGAAACCATTCCACTGTGAAATCTGTCAACTGAAATTTTCCCAGAATGGAAATCTCAAAAAACATATGATGACACACTCTGGAGTGAAACCATTCCTCTGTAAAATCTGTGGTTTAAGATTTTTCTTGAATGAAAATCTCCAACGACACATGTTAACACATGCCAAAGAGAATACTAGTGACATAAATGTAACCCAATAGTTCACCAGAGAGCTGTACAATGCAATATCAAAGATTAAGTTAGAAATTTTTTTAAAAATGTACAGCAACTTGGATTAGACAGAATACATAAGGCATTTGAAATACGATATACAGGTCCTTTTCAAATTCTTGAATGAAAGCCAGAATATTATCTGATAAAAAATGACTAGTGACATGCAATACCATATATCCATTCATCGTTTAAAACCTTTTAAAAACAGAATCAAAACACTAAGTATCAGGGAAGCATGTTAGAGAGAAACTCTACACCAAAAATGAAGAGAATGTAGAAGATCACACTTCCAATAAAGCTAAAACTAAATCAGGTATTAAAGTCTTTTGAGGAAACGGAACAATTATTTTTATGATTAGCATGTTCTGCTCAAGCTGGGGGTGGGTCTTCTTTCATGATTCCTCTTAAGAAAATAAGGGAAATGGACAATCCTAAGTTCTCTTTAGCAGCTTTGCTGTAATCAGCATGTAATGAGTTCGCTAACAGCTCAATGACAGCCCTACACCATTTCCACTTGAACAGTTTAGATTGGCAGCTGACTGTTAAAACATATTGAGATACTTTCTGATCTATAATGAAGTGGAAACATCAATAGATATGTATGTACCATTTTGAAGAAATCTCTTTTTATTAGATATATAAAAATCCCTAGTAAAATCAGTACACTGTTTCCAATGACAAAACAGTTATTTTTTTCCTTCATTAGACGACAGTTTATCAATAATATTGTAAAAATAGATATTTCTTTGATATCAGTGGATTTCATTTCTTCTAATTTTTAATTTCACTCAAGCAATTTTAAATCTCTGCAGCCTCATTTTCACTGTAGTAAAATGTATTTTAAATAAATTAAGCTAAGTTTGAAATATTTTCTTCCTCCAAGCCTAATTTTCAGTTTGAATTCCCCAAATATAATCATGTTATAATGTGCATTGAATGAATGTTTCTCCATATAAACTTTAAAGGACTTTTCCTCAATGTAAAGTCCTTGTTGATTCTCTTCAGTGAAGTTTATAGAATGACAACATTAAATACTGATGTCAGGTAAACCATTTCTTGGTTTCCATCTAGTGATCAGGTAATAATTGTGAGTATGTCAATACATTTACTTATCAACAAACATCATCAGCAGCACCACCATCATGTTATTTAGTGGGAGGCAAACTACTTTATGGCATCTTTAAAAAAGAACAATAATTATGTCATCAAAAATAAAGCAAGTCATTGTTCTGCTAAATGCGATGATTTTGACAACAACATCTGAAGTGACATCTCAATTGTATACAGTTCTCTTCAGCTATTGAATTGTTTTAGAAATGTGTCTGGTTATTCTATCAGGAAACAATTTTTATATCAGGATGTCTGTGGCTAGCTATTTGTCTTTGCACACTGAATTTTTCCAGCCACTAGCAGTGAGGTTCTTAAACTAGGACATGAATTTTAACTGTAGCAAATATTTGGTTAGCGATTACAATTTTGAATAGATTTTGTTCCCAAGGTCAGCAACTGGTGAAACCAAAGAAAACTGGTGCTTATAAAGAGTATTTTGGCTAAAGGTAATTTGTCTTCAATGTAAGTGATCTCTTTCCAAAAAATTCCTATAACTAAATGACAGCGCTTTGACTTTGATAGATTGGCCATTTTCTCTCATTAATTTGTCATATCTCCCCTCAAAATTCTAATTTTTACAATTTTACTTATTTGCAGAAAAAAGACATCCAGGCATCTGGTTTCCATACATAGTTTGAGAAACTGGCTATTAATTTCTCCAATCAGTTTTTATTTGCCATAAAAAAATAGACAAGATAAGAAAAAATAGATAAATAAGAGTCCAAAATGGTTACCATTCCTAAATGTAAGAGAAGAAAAAGGGTGTGTCAAATGAGTAATTTCTGGAACCAATCAAAATCAAGAACAATTCAGGAATGAATTCTATTGTCTCTTAAAAAAAAAACGTGTTAAGACAGTGATGAAGAGGCAAACAGAGCAGACCAGCCACTGAAAAAATTTCATCTGCTGTCCTTTGCCCTAAAAATTCAGACACCAAAAAATCCCACAGAGAGAGTTGAAAGAATTACTGCTATCAAGAAATACTTACATACCTACGAACACATTAACATAGACTCTCTCTCTTTCTCTTTATATATATATATATATATATAAAATACAAATATAGGTAACTATATTCATTTAAAAAAACCTTCGAATTTTTGATTTGCCAATAATCAAATCAATCTCGAGGGAAAAAAAATATATATATATTGTTACGAACCCCCATCTAAATTTATTATAAAAACTAAACCATTGCTTATATTTTAGAAACATTCTAAAATAAAGAGCCCAGTACGTGCAGAAACGTAAAGATGGTATAGGTAGACTTAGTGGTGACAATGATTAACCAGAATGTACCCTTTCCTTCTCTTTTAGTGTGTTGACAGCATGATTTACACGGATAGATTCCGGATAGAAGATGTTGAAACACTAGAGGGGGTCAGTGGCCTCATTCTACCCATAATGGGATAAAAGTTCATATTTGAAAAATGACCACGTGACAAGAAAAAACGGAAATGAATAGTGAAACGGAAAAGTTAGTCTTCGTCTAGGCCTGCGGACTGATAAGACATGCTTGCGAAACTTGTCTAGGCATATGGACCTAAAAGATGTGTTCATGAAATTTGTCCTGGTGCGAAACTTGTTTTGGCATGTGGGCTGAAAAGGCGTGTTCGCAAAATTTGTCCTGGTGCGAAACTTGTCTCAGCATATGGGCCGAAAAGATGTATTTGCAAGGAGAATTCGTCTCTGAGTGGAATAGATGGACCTGTTTGACAATGTGTGCGGAATGCCGCTATATCGAGGTGAAAGAGAGACAGAAGACAGCTTATAGAAAAAGAAAAGAAGAAAGCGAGGAAAGATCTCAAAAGGAGATACTTATGGGAAAAGGAAAGAGAGGAAGAAAATATCTCGAAGGATGTCACGCCGAGATGAAGAAAGAGAAAGCAGTTTCAACTGTCACCAAGCCCTTAAACAAAGGACGAAAGGGAAAAGAAAGAAAGAAAGAAAAAAGAAAGAACAGACCACCTCAAGTGAGAATGCTGCTATACTGAGACGAAAGAGAGAGGGAACGCATTTTCAACTTGATCGTCAGCCAAGCCCCTAGATGACAAAAAGAGAAAGAGAGGAAGTAAGAAAAGACCTTAAAAGGAGATGCTTATAAAAGGAATAGAAAAGGAAAAAGAGAAAAAAAAAGTAGATATAAGAGACATTAGTGGAAAAGAACTTACGAGATAAGTTTATGGTTTTTCTTGTGCTTCATTTTTGTTTAAATGTACTTCTTTTTCATGTTTGTACTTTCATGCAAGTTTTGCATGAGATCTTTTTATTACATGTTTCTTTCCACTTGTCTTAAAATTTTGATGTTCTGTAAATTCGTGCAAGTATGGCACAAGGCCATACGTTGATTTTTATTTTACCTTTCTTAGAGGATGTTCTCCCATTATTTTGTCCACAATGTTTAAATGTTTATTCTTGACATATTGTCATTTTTGTTTTAGCCAGGTTTTTTTTTTTATTTTATCTTTTCCATATTTTCATGTTTGTTAATAAATTTATATTTCCTGTCTCCATTGTTGTTTGTTGCCTATCGTGTTTGTTCCTTAATCGATTCCGCTCGGCCGTGTCTGATCAGTCGGAAAGAGACCCTTGGGAAAGAAATATATTTATGAAAAAAAATGTAAAATGTAAAAAAATAACACAGATTATGATCCTCCTCTACCTCCGCTATCAATAGGGTTGGTGACAAACATGGGGTTTGTAATAAATATATATATATATATATATATATATATATATATATATCGATTTGGAATCATATTTTTAAATAAATAATTATATTTATGCTCTACTTTTGTATCGAGCACTATTTTTAAAAAATAATAACTAAAATACTAAGGGACTTTGGATTATTTACCTAACCAGTTCCTTCCTATTTTCTATAACTTTTCACACACACATATATATATATATATATATATATATATGCTAAGGACTTTCAAGATGAGAACTTTCTGATAGGAACATATGAACTCTTTGAATATTATTGTATATTTTATTTTTAGAGATATAAATTTTTTTTCAGCTCATGCAATATGTATCTTTGTATTATCTTTGCTTGTATTTTTTTAAAGGCCATAAATTGGTGTATATTTGGATTAAGGACATTATCTGAAGATAACCACCTGGAAACAAGTAAACTCCTACTTTGGTGACTTTCACACTAACCTAACGACCACACTTATCCCCTCAACACTCACAGCTTCAAGCTTTTGGGCAAGTGCCAAAGAGACACAGAGAATAACTACGAATAAAAAGTTTTTCAAAGTATGATGATTTATTTTTCTTCCTTCAAATTGCAAAATATTTTATAGGCACTTTATAAAAATAAATACAGTGTAACCTGGATATAAGAAACCCGGATATAAGAGAGTTGTTGGGACTGGAGAAGAAGTCTCTTATATCCGGGTTTCTCTTATATCCGGGTTTGGTCTATTTTGTTTAGGTAAGTATGGCTCTAATTTAGGACCAGAGAAAATCTCTCTTATATCCGGGTTTGGTCTATTTTGTTTAGGTAAGTATGGCTCTAATTTGGGACCAGAGAAAATCTCTCTTATATCCGGGTTTCTCTTATATCCGGGTTACACTGTATAACTATGACATTATTGAATTAGAAAAGCTTTTAATTAATTGCTTTTATAAATAAGTTAAGGACACTATTGTCTGAAGAAATAAAATTTTCCCGATGAATAATGAATTTTTACAAGAATTTTTCTTTTTTTTTTAAATTATTTTAAAAATAGAGTAATGCAACTATGTTTATTTTGTATTCAAATTAAATAACTATATATCAGCACATCCAGAATTTGACACTAAATTAAATGTAATTAAAATTTATTTCCTATTATACTTAAACTTATAGTAATAATATTTGTTTCAAATGAAATTAATTATAATTTAAATCACCTAATATCTTTTAAAATTCTGCATTACTTTCCATCCGGTTAGGTCCTAACTGTTAGGATGTGATATTGTCATTACTAATCAAAACAATGAAAATCTTAATACAGTGGATATAAGAGAGTTGTCGGGACCAGAGAAGAAGTCTCTTATATCTGTGTTTCTCTTATATCCGGGTTTGGTCTATTTTGTTTAGGTAAGTATGGCTCTAATTTGGGACCAGAGAAAATCTCTCTTATATCCGGGTCACACTGTACTAACATAATTTCCTTCAACTAAAATAACAGAAAAAGATTTTGTTTTTGCTGCATTAAGTTTAAGAAAGAGTTGAAAATATATTACTGCCATTTTCTTGTGTGGTCTTTGTGAATTTTGTCTTCAGATGAAAATAAGCTGTTTTCAGGACTTGAAACTTGAAAAGATTTAAAAGTTCATAAATAATTCGAATTAATTTTTTAAAACCATAACAAATCTGCTAAATATTAATTAATCAGCGAAAAAAGATCTTTTAAAGAGACTAGTGTCCATATTCATAATATCAACTAAAATTTTTATTGTATTTTCTCTAAGCATTCAATGCAGATTTGAGGTTTCTGTTTGACCAAAATCACTTTATGATTTTAATTTTCTATGCCTTTTTCCTTATAATTAATACAAACATGAATTTCTCCAAATTTCATAAAACAAAATTAATTGAGGATAATAGATATAAAAAATAATATATTTCCAAGATTTTCTGAAAAAGACACATTTCTAAAATAATTTAATCCATTTTTGAAAAATTTCTGAATGTTTTGTTAAAATTCGACAATTTTGATTTTTGCAAGAATTTCCAAATCAATTAATTTTTGACAGCACAAATTTCCCATATTAATTTATGATCATATTTCCATTATTTAATTTTTGCATAGAAATTTTTTGTTCTTTCATTTTATTATTTCAACAAAAATTGTTACAATAAAATTTAGTTTTTATTATATTTTGTACATTTTTCAGAATGTGTCATCTTTTTTTAAATGTATTCTTGGATGTTTTTTACAAGAATTTTATCTTATTTTTTCATTTCTACAAAAGTTTGATATATCTCTCTATGTTTCTGAAATGAGGTATTGTAATTATTTACATTATTTGAAAGAGCCCAGTACATGCAGAAATGTAAAGACGGTATAGGTAGACTTAGTGGTGACAATGATTAACCAGAATGTACCCTTTCCTTCTCTTTTAGTCAATGTGTTGACAGCATGATTTACATGGATAGATTCCAGATAGATGTTGAAACACTTTAAACTTTCTCTGACCCTACAGTTGAGAGAGGGGGTCAGTGGCCTCATTCCACCCATAATGGGATAAAAATTCGTATTTGAAAAATGACCACATGACAAGAAAAAAACGGAAACGAATAGTGAAACAGAAAGTTAGTCTTCATCTAGGCCTGCGGGCTGATAAGACATGCTTACGAAACTTGTCTAGGCATATGGACCTAAAAGATGTGTTCGCAAAATTTGTTCTTGTGTGAAACTTGTCTCGGCATATGGGCCGAAAAGATGTATTTGCGAGGAGAATTCGTCTCTGAGTGGAATAGATGGACCCGTTTGACAACGTGTGCGGAATGCCACTATATCGAGGTGAAAGAGAGACAGAAGACAGCTTATAGAAAAAGAAAAGAAGAAAGCGAGGAAAGATCTCAAAAGGAGATACTTATGGGAAAAGGAAAGAGAGGAAACGTTTTTTTACAAGAATTTTATCTTATTTTTTCATTTCTACAAAAATTTGATATCTCTCTATGTTTCTGATATGATGTATTGTAATTATTTACATTATTTGAATTGCCATATTCTACCACTCGTCCCTTCAGCCCCTCAACCTCCGGCGTCTTCCTCTTTGGGTTGAGGCGCCCACTTGGTCTGAACCGAACTCCTGCCCTTTTGCATTTGTTTATAAACAAGTCCTTGCCAACCCGATTTGAAATTTATTCTTTATCCATCAGCCGTCTCAGGTTTCATATATATCATTGTTCTAGATTCTTTCCTATTAATAGCGCTGACACAGTTTGTAACTTTCATGGAAGATCGTGTTTTCCATCTTCAATCAATAAACATTATATTTGCGTGTGTGCATTCATGTGCGTCAACCTCTCTCTGTTGCAATATTAATGACATTTCAACCTTGTACACTCCGGCCTTCTTCAGGTGATTGGAATTTCAAATTGAAACTGTTAGTTCTTCCACCTGAATCTTCCTTCCTCAGTCACTTGAATAAGGCTGGAGTGTACAACTGCTGAAACGTCATAAATATGTCAATAAAGATGAGGAAAACAGTGTAAATAATGTAAACACATGATTATTTTTTTTATAAAGAAGCCCTTTACTAATTCAGTAATGACATTTGTGTAATTAGTTAAACCACATTGGAAGGAAATTGGAAAGCCTTTATTAAAAAAAATGTTCAAAGTCTCAATTTCAGTTTGTGGAAGATGGGTAAAGAATAGCACATAGAGACAAGTATATTAATATCCCTAGGCTGTTGTAGACTCCCTAGGTGGCTGCTCAATATATATGGGATAAGGCCTGTATGCCCAAGTAAAGATGAGGCCCGCAAACATTTAAAAATAAAAGACATTAATTAATGAAAGCATATCGAATAAGAAAATTATATTCTGAATATTGTGTTATACAGGGTAGGGCAGAGCAACTTGCTTATTTAAATTTGGCGCCCTAAAGCGATGGTTGCTCCAAGGATGGTAGGGATGGACTTATTTGATTTGAGAGGGTGGAGCTTAAAGTTCGGTTCTTAACGTGCGTTATTTATTTTTTGTTTATTTTTCAGGAACCCCAGTGAGCATCATGGAGTGGATGAAGTTGGAACAAAGCTTTTTCCGCTGTTGAGGCATTTTTTCAAGCGGTCACTCAATCATCGCAAGCAAAGTGCATTCCATAGACATTTCAATATTGCCCCCCCCCGTCGTGTTCCTGGCCGGCAGTCGATTGTTTCATGGGTAAACAACTTCAGGGAAACGGGTGATGTAAAGAAAAAGAAACCTGGCCTCCCACGAACAGCAAGGTCACCCCAAAACATTGACTCAGCATATCGAGAAGAATGGACGCCATCTTACTGATATTATCTTTAAAACTGGTAAAAAATAAAATTTAAATGTTGAACTAGTTGCAGTTCAAAGAATTACATATATATCTGCATTACTTGTGTTTTAATTGATATTCCAAATAAACAAGTTTCTCTGCCCCACCCTGTAGTATATCAAACATAATTTATTCTTCTTAAGCATAAAAAAATGTGTATCGTCCTCCTCCTCCTCATTATTAAGTAAAATGTAAACATTAACAAAATACAGCAAATGATAAATTTACTAAATCCCATCAAAACTTATCTCTAGGATTAATATTGGATTTTTAAATTTGTTTTTAGTTATGAGGATAGCACAATGGGTCAATGAATGTCAAGAAAATGTACCAACGTTTTAAAAATACCTCTAAAATCTTATTTATTTCAGGAAATTGTTTTCATTTCAGTACATCTCACTTAAATTTCCTATACATCAGGCTGTCAATAAATCACTAAACATGTCAGTAAAAACAAGCTCTTCATCTTAAAGAATATATTTTCCTGCTATATTTTGAACTAGAAGTAACATTTTGTTCCAATTCAGTTTAATTCAACTTAAAAACAGCTAATTTTTCACAATATTTTAGGAAAGTATATTTTTGAAAGATTATTTAATAAAGAAAATCATGTCTTATTTATCACTATGGACAAATTGATAGATTTTAATGATAATCAAAAAAAATGTTACAAATTCAAAATTCTTTTTAAAATATAGAACTGTAATGAGTTTTTCCATTTATTTTTAATAAATACAGTTTTAATTTAATAATATCACTTTCTCATTACAAATTAATACAAAATTTTAAAGGTTTAATAATTATTCTAATTAAAAGTTTAAAAAATAAAAATTCTCGTAAAAGTTTCTTATTCATTCAAAATAATAAAGCCAAATATGTCTTATCATAGCAGAAAAACACATGACGACTGTTTCTACATGGATAGACACAAATTGACTAAGTATCACCAAAATGGATGTTTTATATTGGAAAGAAAAATATTGCTACCTCATATATTTAAATGTTAGTAATAAATCAATGAATTATCTGATTCAAACAAAAACTTTTAGTACTGAATAGGTTATTTTATTAGAAAACTTTATGGAAATGTTTTTATAGTGTCTGTTTCCACTCTTTGATATCTTGTGTGTACTTTTTAATTTGGGAAGGAGTATTCTTCAATTTATCATGAACCCCTCAAAAAGTTCAATTTAAAAAAAAAAAAAAATACACTAAATATTTTAAAAAATTCCCTTTAATTAAATAATTTTCTTTCATTTTGCAAATGTTTGATTATTTTTGTATGGATGTTCAAAAAGGAAATAATTCTGCATTATCACCTTTGAATACCTGAGCATAAAATAATAATTCAATAACTCTGAAATTCAGAATAAATTAAAAATTTATTGGTTGCTATTAGATATTACAATTGGCAAGAGAATAAAAAGAAAGAAAATTATTAAACTTAAACGTATCATTTGAAAAAATAAAAAGGAAAAAATATTTCACATTTTAAAAACAGAATTATTCATGTAACAAAAGATATTCTGAAACTTGGTTATAGAAAGTTAAATATAATGAATTTTTAAAGATAACTACAAATGTCTAGATTATTTCACTGCTGGTGTTCCATATATTTTTCTTTTTTTCAATCTTTTTTTAAATAAATGATTACAATATACATTTTTTCCATTATGACCTAAACCCATATTCTATCGTGCATTTTTTTATTTTGACTTAAAGCCATAGTGTATTGCGCATTAATAAATAATTTTTGAGGTTTGAAATTAACTTTTTAAAATGAAAATTTATTCTTGAAGTTTTCTTTCTAGCTTTAATTGAAAGCTAAATGATTAAATTCACTATTTTCAGCCAGCAAAATACTCTGGTGTATTTCAAAAAGAAATTATATTGATTGAAGTCGAATTTTTTTCTAGTTTTCAATTAAAATGGCACATTTTCACGTTTTGATACATTTGTAAACAAAGGTTAATTCTTGGTTTTAAAAATCTTCCAAAAATATACTTTTCTGAAATTTCATTTGATAAGTATGAAGTGATTCAAAATATAATTCATCTGATTTACAAAAATATTTAACTTGAAAGTAAAAAAATGATTTTTAGAACAAACAGTAGCAATGATTATGTACTTATAATCTTATCATTAATCAATCAATTAACATTTTATTAAATTTATCAAGCCAAATTCGAATGGATCATGTACAATTACACCTAAATGTATGTATTCCAGAAATTTTTAATGCAAACTCAGTGTGGGTGCTAAACTGTAAATTAGCCTTATAAAGAATACAAAAAAAATTAAAATACTATTTTTTGGTATCAAACAAGTTATAGGTATCTCCAATAAATTGCCAAAAAAAAGAGCATACCTTGATGAAAAAAAACCTAAACCCATATTCTATCATGCATTTTTTTATTTTGACTTAAAGTCAATTGCATCTGACATGCATGATCCTATAGTGTATAAAAGATGATAAGATGATGAAGCCTCACTGATCAATTTGATAGGGTAGACCATCACTACCTGACTGTTGTCCTGCAGACTGCCGGATATGAACCAGACTTCTGCCAGTGGATTAGCTTCCTGTATTCCTTCCCCATTGCTGTGATATGGAAAATGGTCATGCACTTTTGCTCTCAGTCGGTTCATCAGGGTTTTGGCACTGGAGCCTCTCTTTTGTCAGTTGAAGGACAGGGCTTGCAGTCCAACCTGTTATAGTGGAAGACACCTATTCTATAGTTAATAGACTCTCTCATCTATAATAACTAGGAGTAGTAATAGTAACGAGGAGTCGCTCAGTGAGTCGATGCCAGACGACCGTTAGTCGGATAATAAAGTATCAGCGACCACAACTAGATTTACTCTGCGTCATACCTATTATATGAAGTTTCTAACGTTTTGTACGTTGAATCTATTTTAGGACCGACTTAGTACAAATACAAGCCTCCACTGTGAAATCACTCCATAACACAGTCCTATGTGAAATCACCGTCCCTGGTGGGGCTTGAGCCAGGGTTTCCACATAAGACGATAAAGTATCTACTTTTGTGTCATGTCACAGGGATATTGAGGTGGTACTGAAGGTGCTTGAAGAGTACAAAAAGGTCACAGGAGCCAAGATTAATCACAACAAGTCTTCTGGCTTGTTGGTAGGTGCCTGAAAGGGGTTGATTTTCTGGGACCCTTTGGTTGAATGGATGGTCCTACTCACATTCTCGGAGTTCGGTTTGGATCCAACCTCCAACTGGAGAAAAATTTGTCATAAGTACAGGAAAAAGTTGGTATGGCGGTCGAGACTTGAAGGGTTGAGCTGAGGCCTGTTCCACATGTCTTTCCTTTTATCCTTTAACGCTTGTCTGTACTTCCTCTCTGTAAGAAACATAAGAAGGCAATCGAGCACTTGCTCTCCTTCCTCTTCTGAGAGGGACGCAAGCATCACGTTGACCAAGAAGTCAGAAAAATCAACTATAACCTACTGCTTACCTAAATATTTGGCCAGGAGATAAACTATATTCACACTTCTGATTGCATAAAAAAGATTGATGGATAACACTGATATTGATCAAGAAAACTTGTTGAGATTGTGATTTTGGAGAAATTCAAGATGAAAAATGTTTTTTTGAGGAGGCTTGGTAGGATTTTGAAATCAAGGACATAGGCTGTGTGAGTGAGTGAAACTGAAGAATTTTACAAATCATCTATTCAACTGAAGTGTGCAGAGCTGAAACAAAAGAGTAATAGGTCTTAAATTAGAAAACCAGATGCTAAAAATTTTCTGGGCACATCTGGAAACTGCAACACAATTTTCTCAGACTGGATATATTATGTAAAATTGCCAGTTTGTCAAACTATGGGTGGAAGCCAGATGATGTAAGGTATTTTTCTGCAAATAAATAAAAAATTAAAAATTTTGTGGAGAAATAACTTAATGAGTAAAAATGGGTAATCTGTCAAAGTCCTGCCAATTAGTTACAGGCATTCTTTGAAAAGCAATCTCTTAGATTGAAAACAAATTACCTTTAGCCAAAATGCTCTTTATAAGCCCCAGTTTTCTTTGGTTTCACCAGTTGCTGACCTTGGGAACAAAATCTATTCGAAATTGTAGTCTCTAACTAAAAACTTGTCCTGCTTTAAGAACCTCACTGCCAATGGCTTAAAGTACTCAGGATACAGAGACATATCTGTCCGCAGACATCCTGACATTAAAATTGTTTCCTGATAGTATGACCAGACACATTTCTAGAAAACTCAGTAGCTCAATAGAATTATATACAATTGAGATGCAACATCAGATACAGTATTTACATTAGTCGGACTATTGTCCTCATCTTTGTCGCCATATTTGTCATTCGTTTCAACGTTTCGTTTATGCGCTCCAGCCTTCTTCAGGTGGTTGGAATTTTGAACTGAACCCTTTATTTTGATCACTGGGGTAGGCTGTTCTAGTTCCACGTGCCATGTTTGATGGATGTCAGTTATCAGTTATCTCCTGCTAATTTTTCCCTCTGAAAGTTCTCCACTGCCTTAACCGGGTATTGAACTCACATTCTTTGGGTCTGTCACTGGATCTAACCAAGGCCTTTATCCAGGACACATGATCCAGTGGCAGACCCAAAGAATGTGAGTTCAATACCCGGTTAAGGCAGTGGAGAACTTTCAGAGGGAAAATTAGCAGGAGATAACAGACATCCATCAAACATGGCACGTGGAACTAGAACAGTCTACCCCAGTGATCAAAATAAAGGGTTCAGTTCAAAATTCCAACCACCTGAAGAAGGCTGGAGCGTACAACGGCCAAAACATTGTGACAAATATGGCGACAAAGATGAGGACAGTAGTCTGACTAATGTAAATACTGTACATAATACCTCATCTCAGAAATATAGACAGCAAGATCAGATGTCAAAATGCATCAAATTTAGCAGAACAATGACTTGC